TATTGCCTTTCTTTGCTGTACCACATTGTAACTCCTGCAGTTTCTTTATGTGCCTTTTACACATATATGTTTTACACAAATGTCACAAGACTTGGGTGAAAAAGATGTTGTGATACACACCTGTCAAAGACAAACGATTTCAGAGTAACCCTGAGCAGATCTAACATTGAGTGAAAACCCATTTGGTAAATTGCCCAATTTAAAATTATTTAAACATTCATTTATAGTTGTTCAGACATGCTTGAATAACTACCTTATTAGAAAGTAATTACTTTTTTTTTAAGCTGTCCATTTAAATTCATGTCTCTGTTCCGGAAAAGTTTTTTTAAAACCTGTTTAATTATTAAGGCATTTTTGAGGGGGGGGAGGAAATGTATAGATTAATTCCTTATGAGTGGAAATATGCTGATCCTGGATCTTCCAGATAGGCTATTCTGTACCACCACCAGGGATAGCACATTTCTCATGAAAGGCATCTGGTTTAGACCTCCACAGTTTAGATGACCAGAATACTAATAAATAGTATCAGTGTCAGTATCTTGTATCAGTATCAGTGTCTTGTTTTGAAACTTCAGTGTACTTTAAAAACTGGCTACAAGAAATACATCCATAGAGGTCACTTCATTTCTCACTGATCTACACCCACCTCTGGATGCTACTTGATGGCTCTTGAAGAGCCTATGGCTACACTGTACAAGATTTCTGTGCAGAAGTTGAGATATGTCAATACCTGTTTGGAAATATAAGAAGGAAGGTATATGTGGCTAAGAGGAATAAAACTGAATGCAAACCAGGCTTTTTTTCCTCTGGTAGAATCTCATTTTGTTTCCTCTGACTTTAATAGTGCAGAACCCAAATCTAAAGGGAAACTAAACATCTACATTCCAAATACTTTCACTGACAAAACCAGGGACCCAGTTATCATACCTGGTAAAGTTTAAGAACAGTCCTATGCTCCTTTCCCCTTTACACACTCAGTAGAATAAACACAAAGGAACACCATGTCTGTCTAGGTTAGGACCTTTTCAAAGTGTCCCACTGGCTGTTTGAGCCTCATTAAGAGCATCAACAACAAAACAAAGTTTTCTGGGATTATAAAGTCAGATCCCACACTGAGTAGTAAACAGAGCTTTTTCAGAACACAAAGCAAAAATCAAAAGAGAAACATTTATGGAAAATGTTTCTAGCAGTAGAAATTAAGACAGAGCATTAATCTCCATCCCACATTTTTAGATTTGGTTTAAATGTTTTAAAGCATTTTGAAGTTTTAAAACATCAGTTAAAACAAAGAAGTTCATTTTAACTTACCATGCAGTAGAGCTACGAGCTCATAATGTCCTCTTCCTAGTCATATTGCAAAAATGCACATTGAGTAGAAGCTAACTACAAAGCCTGTTTTTATAGATATTAACAACAAGAAAGTCTGTCTTTCTCTGGCTTTAAACAAAAAAGACCCAGATGATCAATGGACACTCTTTTCCATTCTACTTCCTGCTATTTAATATTATGTAAGGCATATGGGAGCAACATTGTCAAGCGGTTACTGTTGTAGACCAGGATTCGGGAGATCGCCTTTTTAATTCTTTTTTCTGACATCAGTTTGTTACAGGGTCATCTTCTCTCACTGTGTTCCCACGTGCAACAGTGATTCTAATTGATGAGCTGGACTTTCTACGCAAATATAAACTGTTCTCAAGATGGAAAGAGAGCGCTCTGTTTGCTGCAGGAATTTAAATGGAATTGTAAATCCTTAGTCATGATCTTTCTGTCTGGAGGGATATAACTTCTACAGTGCTATTGAGCTAAGAAACCTGTTAAGTGGAGATGTAAATAATGAACAGTTGTGGGGGTAATCTGCCTCTTCAAAGACAGAGAGCCAGGGCCAGCTTTGATTATCAGCTTTCTGTGAGGAGTCAGATGATTTTGATAAAGGGCTGAGACATCACTATTGAAAACGTTGTGAGGAGCAAACTGAATAGCTTTTGATTTGCAAAGAAAATTCTGTGTTCCTGTGGGCTGATTGGGTCAGTATTTTATGTTAACAAATAGTTTTTGTTTGAATTAATGAACCATGTTATAAGGCAAGAGCGTGGGCAAAACACAAGATTTTCCTTAGGTGTTAGAAAGAAAACACCAGATTATGCCATTCTTCCTAGGAAGTCAAGAAAAAAACCTAAAAGCGTTTTTATTCACTATGCTGTGTCAAATGATCCTTGCTTCCTACATACACACACAGAAACTCAGTTCCTGCAGTGTTGCTCCCTCTTTGCCTACCCTGTACTTTCGTAAAGTGGAGGCAAGTCCAGTTATTTTCTTTTAGTCTGGATAATGGCTTGTGGAAGTATGCAATTAAGTGACAGATTAATTCGGCTAGATTGGCAACAGGTGCTCGGGAGTGAGACAGGCTTTTCTATTAATCCAGGTGTTAACGGAGTCAGATCTGATTTGTAAGCACACCACGGGCATTTAGGGTTTTGATTGGCGTCTTGCAGGTAGAACTATCATCCCCCATAACTAAATAGAAACAGTTCTCTTTGCAGTTTGGTAGATGGTCTGTCAGGTACTGCTCAAAACTCAAAAGATGGAAGATTTGTGCAAACAAATGCGGAAAGGGAAAGGAAGTCAACCGTTGCGATTATTCCCCCATCCTCCTCAAGCAAACTCAGTCCTTGCACTGCAGAGTAATCTCTGAAGTACTGAACAAAACCAGGCCTTGGAAGCGACCTCACCTCTTTACACCACCACGAACTTGTCTCTTACAAAACTCTTCCCAGGGTTGATATAATGCAATACACTGAAAAGTGAAGGACTGCCCTCTTGTGTCAGTCACTATTTTTTCATTTGCCTGGTTTTATATTCCTGTTTCTATTAGTGAGTGAGGACTCTGCTATTTCCCTCCAACAGATATTTCTTCTTTGGAAAGGTATAGGATTTGTTTCTGAGTACTATCCCGATAGAAAATTCAACAAATAAAAATATATCTGCTGTATTTGTGACTTGGAGACACCCAGGACTGGGCATATATTGCTCTTCCAGCTAAAGACATCCAAATAGCTACACTGGGTTATGCCTAGTCTCCTTCTTGACACAGAAAAAGAAGGCAGAGGAGCAAATAAAACAGGAAAAGTATAATTAAGGACAGAGAAGAGACAGAAGAGAAGCAGATTTATTAAACCAATCTTTCCCTGCAACCCTCATAGTAAGCTATATGCAAGTTAAATACAGAACCAACACTTCTCTAGGGAGCTAGACTCACGAACAGCTCACAGACCATGAATGTGCAGCAGAGATTATAGTCTCAGTCCTGTTGGCTGGCAGAGAGTTCTTCATTTTTAAATCATTAGTGCTCATTTCCAGGGTAGTTCTTGCAGTAATGGTTGTCAGAGAATAGTCTTCTAAAAGCTGCGTCAGGTTTTGTGCCCACCACTTGGGGTGCTTATTAATGACAGATAACTAAATATTTGCAGAAGGTAGCCCCTTTTCACACCTACCAAAGCAGCTTCAGCAGAAATGAAGACCATCAGGCACATTCTTGTTAGCAGGTCAGTCAACATTAACTCTGACCTAGCACTCCACTCTTCATGTTACATTTGTTAACAGCACCGAGTGCTCATGCTTTCATTCC